TGCTTATAGAGTATTGGTGAATTACCTGGGTCCCATTGAGACATGTTTAGGGTTTATTTGGGTTGGTCCGGACTCTTGGTGTGGTGCTTTTGGATAAGCACTGGACTTTTTTTTTTTAATGTTTTATTGTGAATTATGTGATACTTTACATGGGAGAACATTCATTCTACATTCATCCTCTCATATATTATTTCATTGCCATGATTACAATCCCCTCCATGCATCATCAACCAACCAAAAGGGTGGACACTACAAGCCTGCTCCATAGTCATCAACACACAGCTCCTCTCCCTCTCTGGGTCTAAAGTCCCCAGCTGCTCCATCTCTCCAGGTCATTGTCTCTGCCTCCATCTCAGGCATCACTTAAACACTGCACTTTGAACTACATCATCAGCTGTTCAAACCCACCAGCCCCTCCTCAGAAACCTTATACAGGCTCGCTGAGTTGACACGGACTCGACAGCATTTAACAACAACAATAACAGGGTTGATGTGCTGTGCCAAAATGCCTAGCAAACAAAAAATTAACAAAATAAAACTCAGCAGATACCTACTGAATGAATGAATTAGGAAAGTGATGATCAGGAACCAAAGCAAACCCACTACCCTCAAGTCGATTTGGATTCCTAGTCACTCTTTTTAAGATTGCAAACTTTAATGGGAGCAGAAAGTCTCAACTTTCTCCAGTAGAGTGGCTGGTGAGTTTGAACTGCCTTCTTTTAAGGAATCCAAGGGTATAATGAATTCCTAGTTTGTGATATAGGATATCTCTTTATATTGAAATTTTATATTAATATTTATATTGGAAATTCTGTGAGGGGGCTTCCAAGGCAAGATGGCAGAGTAAGCAGATGCACTGAGTTGACAGTCTGCAACCCAAACACGGGAGACCAAGTGAAACAGATCCAGATGGTGATCCTGGACCCTTGAGCATCAGAGGACAGGATGGAGAGGTGGATTGAGTGCTGACTGGAAGAAGCAGCTGAACAGGAGCAGTGAGAGAGAGGAAAAACCAGGCAGCCTATTAGGAATGGTGGAGTGGTGCAGCCATCTTGAGCTTTTGCAAGCAGCTGCCGATACAGTGGCTTGCAGGCAAGACTGTAAATAGGGAATCAGAGATACTGGTTTGCAACAACAACAACAAAGCATCAAGTAAAAAGAGGGAATAATGTAGTTGTAGAACTTCCAAATGAAACAGAAATCAAGTTGTTGTTGTTAAGTGCCATGAGTCACTTTTGAGTCATAGTGACCCTGTATAGGGTTTCCAAGGAGTGGCTGGTGGGTTTGACCACCAAACTTGTGGTTAGCAGTCCAGTGCTTATCCTACAGCATCACACCAGGACTCCTCTCAGAAATCAAGTGGAAAGCAAGAGAAAAAAAAAACCCAACTGTAACCCTAAAAACTAGAGCAAGATTTATCCTAGCCCAACCCTTACCCCTAACACTAAACCTGTTGTTAAGTGCCATTGAGTCAGTTCTGACTCATAATAACCATGTATAGGGTTTCTAAGGAGTGACTGGTGTGTTTGAACCACCAATACTGCAGTTCAAACTGACCTTGCAGTCCAGTGCTTATCCTACAGCACCACACCAGGACTCCGACACTAACCCTAGTCCTAACCATAACCCTAACATTAAATGAAGTCCTAGACATAGCCTAGATCTAGCACATAATTATCAAATGATGTATTGCATTAGGCAAATCTGCTGCACAAGACCTTTTTAAAGTGTTGAAGAGCAAAGATGTCAGCTTGAGGACTAAGGTGCGCCTAACCCAAGCCATGGTATTTTCAATAACCTCATATCTATGCGAAAGTTGGACAGTGAATAAGGAAGACCGTAGAAGAATTAATGCTTTTGAGTTATGGTGTTGGAAGAGAATATTGAAAGTGCCATGGACTGCCAAAAGAACCAATAGATCTGTTTTGGAAGAAATACAGCCAGAGTGCTCCTTAGAGGCCAAGATAGCCAAACTTTGTTTCTCATACCAGGAGGGACCAGTCGCTGGAGAAGGATACCATGTTTGGTAAAGTGGCGGGTCAGATAAAAAGAGCAAGACCCCGCAGCGAGATGGATTGGCAAAGTGGCAGCATCATTGGGCTCAAACATGGTAACCATTGTGAGGTTAGCCCAGGACTGGGCAGTGTTTCATTCTGTTGTGCCTAGGGTCACTATGAGTTAATACCGACTGGATGGCACCTGACAACAACACCTCCTAGCTCCAACACACTCTTACCCCATCCGTGTTGTTAGTTGTTGCTGTTAGGTGCTGTAGAGTCCATTCCAACTCATAGCGGCCCTATGGACAACAGAACAAAACACTGCCTGGTTCTGCACTGTTCTTGCCTCTGCAAAAAACAAACCCAAAAAACAAAGTGAATGAGGTCAGGAGACCTGAAGTGGTCAACCGTCTGCCCGCTGGTGTAGGACTTGCATAGCCTCTGAATCTATCTAATACAGCCTGAGCTGGCCAGTTTCCCAGATTTCTCTCGGGTTCTTGCTTCTTCATCTCTATGATTTCAAGATAGGTATACATACTCTTCCCTATCTCCAGAAGCACTCTGTGGCTGGGTATAGGATTTCCTCCATGCAGACTGAGAGATGGGCAACTGCTGACTTCTCTGAGCAGATTGACAATTTCTAGTCTTAAACAGATTAAAAATAATGTCCTACTTGTTTTCTGTAGCTAGACCCAGCATTATAAACTAATGGCTCCTAGTGACTTTTTTGGAAGACTTCTGTTGCTGTTTCTAGCCTAACTAAAAACTAAATATGTCACGGTGTCTGCTGATGAACACATACATTTATCTTGTCTACCCTGGATTGCCTTAGTCAACACTCAATGTTGGCAGTAATCTCAGAACAATTTTATAGCAGTAAGCATGGGTGATTGATACTCTCTCATTCCCATGTTGTTATCCATAGTGGGTAGAGTCTGTGGTCCAAGAATAGTCTCATTTTGTTGTTGTTAAGTGTCACTGAGTCAGTCTAGACTCCTAGTGACCCTGTCTAGGGTTTCCAAGGAGTAACTGATGGGTTTGAAACTGCCAACCTTGAAATTTAGTGCTTATTCTATAAGCGCCAGGAACTCCTTTTTGGGTCTCTGAAGCTCCACCCAACTTCTCAGGTTCTAATCATGTCTGATCTGGTCTTCACTGCTCATTTGTGGCTTAGGAGAATAGAAGCTGCATCTTTAAACATGAATGACTGATAAGGAGCACAAGTCCCAAGTTGTCATTAGTATAGCCTGACTTCTATTTGGGATGTGCTCCATTGGCATGGTAGGATAAGGTATACCATGACAACAGGAAGACCCAAGAATTCTGATCCCATCTGGCAGGACCAACTCTGCAGAACTGTTGAACATTGCTGTGAATTTCCTGTTAAATCAGAAGCCCCCTCTCCACCTCACCCCAATCCACACACTGCCAGTGAGTTGGTTCTGAGAGCAATCCTATAGGATAGAGTAGAACTACCTCTAGATGGCTTCCAAGGCTGTACATTTTTAAGGAAGCAAACTGTAACATGTTTATCCCTAGTAGCAGCTAGTGAGTTCTTCAAAATGTCCACCCTTTCAATATTCAGTCAAGTGCTTAACCACTGTGCCACCAGCGATTTTTGAACCCAACTCAGCATGGCTCAATGACAGTGGATGTTAAGACAATCTGGGAAGATGTCTTTCCTCCTAAGAATAGTGGTCACTGGAGTGAGGTGAAAACAACCAATCTCTGCTGAAAAGATGCTGCATGAATTTTCCTGTTGAGAGCTCTGGGGACACAGTAACTGAGTGCTTGGCTGGTAATGGAAAGGTCAGAGCTCAAATCCCTGCCCCCCTCTTCTCCCTGCCATACACAAACATACTCCAAGAGAGGGAGAAAGATGTGGCAGGATGCTTCTGTAAAGTTTGTTACTGTTGTTAAGTGCCACGGAGCCAGTCCCAATTCATAGCGACCCTTTTATAGGTGGTGAGTTAGAACTGCAGACCTTGCAGTCCAAACCAACCTTGCAGTCTAGTGCTTATGCTACAGCGCCACAGCAGGACTCCTGGATCCTATGGGGCAGTTAATTTTACTCTGCAATCCTGGGTTGCCAAGAGTCTGAATCAACTCAACAACAATGGGTTGTTGTTTTTGTTTATTGTGGGCTGGGGTCTTGAGGTGATGCAAATAGGTTTGTGCTCCATTGCTAGCCTTAAGCTTGATGGTTTCAACCCACCCGACTGTAGTAAAGAGGAATTTGCCTGCTGCTCTGCTTCCATTAAGATAACAGCCAAGAAAACCCTATAGAATACTTCTACTCGACAACACGTGGGATCGCCAGGTCTAGAAACCGTAGGCCGGCACTTTCTTTATGATTTCTATTGCTTACAATTACACTTTAAGTTAGAGATTTTCGTCTTTTTTCAGAGAAAAATGATGTAAAGTGAGGTTGAGACTTATCGTTTACCAAAGTGCAAGGATTAGAATCCAGGTTTTGCGACCCAGGAACACGTGTTGATACGGTTTGACTTGCTCCCAGGGTTAGAAAGACTTTTCAGGCAGATGGAAGGCAAAGAGGTGACATGCGAGAGCAGATGTTCATTTTCGGAATCCTCCCAGTTGTGTGTACAGTTCGCTTTCATATACGTAAAGTTGCTTTCCCGCCCCCTCCAAGTCTACGCGCCAGCGACATACTTTACCGGCCATCTTGGTGTGGTAACCTCAGTTTATTTAACTGAGACGACAACCAAGGAAATTAGACAAAGCTACCCTAATCAGAAATTTTACAAAGTAATAGCAACTCCCCTGGTCAAGAGCGCTACTTCCCCGCCAGCCGAGGTTGGGTATGTAGACCCACTGCAGCAGGGCACCTCCCTCGCTAGGTTCCAGACTCCAAGATCCCAGGTTGGAGCCGGCTGGGGCGGGGCGAGGTTGGGCCACGCCGGCACACGTTTCGAATCTCCTCCCCTCATTTAAATACGCGGCGCCGGGCGGGTGCGTCGAGCTCGCCGTGGATCCAAGATGGCGGCGTGTGGACGTGTACGGAGGATGTTCCGCTTGTCGGCGGTGCTGCAGCTGCTGCTCTTCGTCGCGGCCGTGGACCAGAAATTCCCAGGCCAGAGCATCCACAGCCAGGGCCAGGGCCAGGGCCCAGTGGCCAACTTTGTGCCTTTCGTAGGGAAGGCTGGAGGCGGCGGGCCGGCAGTTCAGCAGCTGCCTCAGTCATCTCAGCTCCAGCAGCAGCAGCAGCAGCAGCAGGAGCAGCAACCGCCTCAGCCGCTGTTCCCGGCGGGTGGGCCTTCGGCCCGGCGGGGCGGAGCAGGGCCTGGTGGTGGCTGGAAGCTGGCAGAGGAAGAGTTCTGCAGGGAGGATGTGACCCGTGTGTGCCCCAAGCACACCTGGAGCAACAACCTGGCGGTGCTCGAGTGCCTGCAGGACGTGAGGGAGGTGAGGAGGCGGGACAGGGCTGGGAGGGCCTGGCCTGCTGCAGGCCCTAGGGTGTCGCCGGCCTTGGAAGCCGCTGACGCTGGTTCGCTGGCTGCTGTCGGCTTCCTCTATGCAGCGCTTGCCCCTTTCCTCCTTGCCCCTCAATTCCTGGCCCATCGCACCGCACCATTCCCCTTCTTCCCCGGCTCCCTTTGCCTCCCTGCTGCTGGGATCTGGAGCATAGACCCCAACACAGGGCCTGGATCAGAGAAGGCCCAGAACGTGTTTATGTTTGTTCCTGTCTTTTGTGTGATGCTCTTAGCCGAGAGGCTCCTTGCCGAAGATCTGTTTAGGATGTTGCCTTTCCGTATAGTAATTTGCAGCGTTACGTTTATACATTAAAAATGGTTGGTGGACTTAAACTTTTAAAGAATGATCGGCCGTTCTTTGGCAGTGCATAATGTTGGTTTAGGTAACTCTGGTTCTGCTCTGATGTGCGTTGTAGTTAGCTGGAGGATTTACTGTCTGTCTGCTTTGTTCTTGTCATTGGCAAATCCTACCTGGTGTTGATTCTAATGTATTCCTTTTTTCCCTTCATTTCTTTTGGTCAGTTTGTGGTGAATCTCCTAGTGACTGAGAGCCCTAAAGCTTGAAAAGTTGGGACAGCATTTGAAGCTGTAATACATTTGCAGTATTTGTGATTGGGCTGTGGGGGCTTGTCTTTCTGACGTCTGAATACAATTTAAACAGTAACTTTTAATGAGATCTAGATTTGCTATTGTTTGATGTGACTCAGTTCAGTGACGTCGGAAATTAGTTCTCTAGATTTCCTCAAGTGCATAGTAGACGATTCTCAGAGTTTGGGAGCAGTTTTGATAGGGATACGTTTCAAAAGGTAATGTCATTAGTTGCTGTGGGTTGATTGGCTCTCCTGCTGACCCCATGGATGTAGAGTAGACTGCTCCATAGGGTTTTGAAGCCTGTGACCTTTTTAAGCATATCCACAGATCTTACTTATGAGGCATTTCTGGGTGGGTCTGAACCATCAAACTTTATACTGCTAGCAGTCCAGCACTTAAACATATATAGTAATTAGTCCCAGAGGCTGACGAGTAGAATAAAGCTGTTGCTTGATATAGTTTCATTTAGAAAATTGTGTCAGTAGAGTTGTGAAGGCAACAGGAAGATCACAGGTTGGTAAACAATTGCTAATCTTAGCAATTTTGCTCCCTTTCACCCGTTAGTTTAATGGTAAGTATCCCTGTCTGTCACGTGAGAGACTGGGGTTTGATTTCCTGATGGAGAGGCTGCGTGTCTTTGGAATTCTGATGTGGCATGGTAGGATAAGCACTACATTGCTAACGGAAAGATTGGCAGTTCAAACCCATTGGCCGCTCCTCAGAAACCATATACAGGGTTGCTATGAACTGAAACTGACTGGATGGCACTTAATAACGAAAACAATCCCACTATGATGGTTGCTCTAGTATTACACAAAGATAAATCAGAAGAGGAGACACATCAAGGAAGTTTCCAGGACCACTGGAAATGTGGGATCTTAGATGACTTCATTTATATTTTGAAGATTCAGAAGATAATATCAGTTTTACTCCTCTAGTTAATACAATTAAAATTCTTAATTCACTACGCTTTTTTGGAGGTTTCTGTTTAGTTTTGAGGATATAGAAGTTGTTTCCTCAGAGTAGGTTAATACTGGTGGCCAAAGGTAATAGTGACTTCTCTAGGAAACAGGACATTATCAGGGCAAGAAGTATCAAAAAGTGGTCCATTCAGAGAATGCATGTACCTTCCTTTGAGTACATTCAGGGCATTGGAAACCACCAGTAGTTTTTGTGGTCATACATGTAGAAGGATCAGTGTACATGATCTACAAATTACTTAGACTTTGACTAATTTTGAAATCTGTTTAATTTAGTGGGTACTATAAGGGAAGGAGCCCTGGTGGCACTGTCGGATAAGCACTGGACTGTTAACCTCATGGTCCTCAGTTCAAACCCATCAGCTCCTCCTCAGAAGAAAAATGAGACTCTCTGCTTCTGTAAAGATTTACAGTGTAGGAGATCCTATATGTTGTTGTTGGTATGTGCTATTGAGTTGGTTCCTGCTCGTAGCAACCCTGTATAGGGTTTTCAAGGAGCTGCTGCTGAGTTTGAACTGCCAACCTTGAGATTCAAAATGACCCTTAATTCTTATCCTATGGTGCCACACAAGAACTCCAATTAATCCAGTGGCAGCAGTGTAGAGTCTAGCCAGGAAATTTAGTTTCATTTCTGCCATTGTAAAATTCCCAACAAGGGCATTATTTCATAAACTTCATTTTTCTTCCTTTATAGAGATAATTTGTCAACTCCCTGAAGACAGTACTAGATCCTGTATTTCCTTTGTCACACTACAGATTACTCAATGCACTGATTATTCAAAAACTCCTTGCTATCAATTCTGACTCATAGTGATCCTATAGGATGTACTAGAACTGCCCCATAGGGTTTCCAGGGTTGTAAATCTTCATAAAGGAGTGCTGGTGATGCTGTATGGTAAGCACAGGGCTGATAACCACAAGTTTGCCTGTTCAAACCCACCAGCCACTCTGTGGGAGAAAGATGAGGCTTTCTGCCCCCATAAAGATGTACAGCTGCAAAAACCATGTACAGGGTCACTGTGAGTCAGAATGGACTCCGCAATACCTAACAACAGCAGGTCTTTATAGAAGCAGAGTGCCACATCTTTTTCCCATAGAGAGACCAGCCTTGCTGTTTGCAGCCAAATGCTTTAGCCATTGTGCCATTAGGGCAGTTTTTACACTGATCGTTGTTAAGTGCCGCCAAATCTGTTCTGACTCTTAAGAGACCCTATACAGAGTTCTCAAGGAACGACTCCTGGTTTGAACTGCTGACCTTGTGGCTCCTAGTTTAGCGCTTATCCTACAACGCCATACCAAGAGTCTGCTTACTCAGTAAATAATGCGTACTGTGAGGCTGAGTAAGCTAATGTTGTTACGTGCTGTCAGTTGGTTCTGACTCATAAGGGACCCTGTATAGGGTTTCTAAGGTGTGGTTGATAAGTTTTGAATCACTTACCTTGTGGTCCAGGTTTTATCCTACAATGCCACACTAGTTTTATACTCCATGGGAAGAAAGGTGTCATATATATTAGAAGTGGGTTATTTCTTTTGATAGGAGTGTTGTCCAAGTTTTCAGTTTGATAAAAATTTTATTCAATTTGATATACAGAAAAATGGAAAGAAGAACACTATAAACACTTGTGTGGATTCTTCAGGAGGTGGAATTATGTATTTATTGGTGCCCTGTGTGAGGAGGAGTGATTTTTAAACATTTTATTCTTTAAAGACTGCAAAATGAAATTTTATTCCACTTAGTTTGAGAATTGACTCTGATTTATGTGTTTGAAATAACGTAATTAAAGAATGGAACTAGCTAGATGCTGTTGAGAAATGTGTGTAATATATTTTGTATTTGGTGCTCGGTGTGTAGGACCAGTTGATAGGGGAGTTGACAGAATGCTCTTTCTTTCTTTCTTTCTTTTTTTATCACTTTGGATACAAATTCAGTGAAGATTATTCTTTTGACTTGCTTATTAGAATTATGACAAGGCACACCATGTGAGTATTTAAATTGCAGCATGAAAGTATGGTATTTAAATTTATATAGCAATTCAGTTACAAAATCCACTTGGAGGTATTTATGATTACCTTTGAGTAATTCCAGCAGATACTTTCAATTTATCTAATATATGTGAGCAAATTAAAAACCTATATGCATAAACTATGCTATAAATTACATGGAGTCCTAGTGTGGCTCTGTAGGATAAGCACTGCACTGCTAATCACAGGTTGGTGGTTCAAACCCACCAGCTCTTCCTTGGAAACTATACAGGGTCACTGGGAGTCAGAACTGACTTAACAGCACTCGTAACAACAACATAAACTGCCTGTAGACCATAGCTTAGTTCACAGCTTTTCCTCAGTCATTCTGATCAGTGTTTTAAAGGTATATAGGGGATCATTTTTCTAACCTTCTCAGATGAGTAACAGAGTCCTGGTGTAGCACTGTTGGATAAGCACTTGACCATAAGGACGGAGGTTCAAACTTACCATCCACTCCTCCAAAGCCTTATACAGGGTTGCTATGAGTTGGTACTGCCTCAACAGGACTTAACAACAACAACAGATGAGTTACACTTTTAAAAGGGTCTAGTAGCTCTGGTAGTGTAGTGGTTACGAATCGGGCTGCGAACAGCAAGGTCAGCAGTTTGAAACTACCAGCCGCTCTGTGGGAGAAAGATGAGGTTTTCTGCTCCTATAAAGATTGACAGCCTTGGAAACCCTGTACAGGGTCTCTATGGGTTGGAACCGACTCAACGGCACTCAGCAACAAGTATACACAATAAAGTCCTGATGTGGAGCTATAGGATTAACACTGAACTGCTAACCATGGGGTTCGCGCATCAATCCCTCCAGCTGCTCCTTGGAAACACTCTACAGGGTTGTTATGAGTCGAAATTGACTTGATGACTCTTTAACACCAACAACAGTATACACAGTGGCTCAGTATTAAATAGTAGTTGTAATCGCAATAATGGTGGAGTAGTAGTCCCAGGATCGGGCAGTGTTTCGTTGTGATATGCATAAGGTCACTATGAGTCGGTAGCCACTCGATGGCACCTCACAACAACAACAACAACAAGTAGTCCTGGTTATTATACAAGGGAGCTTCAAAAAAGTTCATGGAAAAAATGGAATTAGAAGATAATGAAATTTTTTCACAAACTTTTTGGAGCTCGTGGAACTACTGTAACAGTAGTTCTTTGTTAGGTGCCGTCCAGTCGGTTCTGTGTACAACAGAAGGAAACACTGCCCAGTCTGTGCCATCCTCATAAGTGTTGCTATTCTTGTGCTCCTTGTTGGTGCCAATGTGCCAGTCCATCTCATTGGGGGTCTCTCTCTTTTTCTCTGTCCCTCCACTTTACCAAGCATGATGTCT